CTGTAGTGGCGACCCGTGACCATGGAGATATAAACAGCTTTTTATAAGGTAAAAATAATAAAACAAGGTCTTTGTCTGCAATGATTAGGCATGTTTTTTTATCTCAATTTCGGCTAAAAGAATTGACAAAATCCTACACACTGTGCCTTTAAACATTTTCTTCTGTTTATAGGAAAAAAACTCAGCTTAGACATTTATAAAAAAAAATCCCCACTTGTGTGGACAGGATGAGTTTAAGGCACAAACACAGAAGTAATTTTTTGTTCTTACAAAAGATAAAAAAGCAGTGTTAATGGGCCCTTAACAGGAATCACTATAGCTCGCATTGTGTTTTTATCTCCCCCAATTGCGTAAAAGAGAACTTGGAAATACCAAGCGCTTGTTCGTCCATCTTGTAACCTGAAAAAGTTGAAAAATAAGTAATGTGCTGACTTTCATGGTGTGTGGCTGCATCTAGGGGTAAGAAAGGTTCTTATCGAAAATTGGCTTACCACGTCAAAATCCAAGACAGCCACCACCAAATACGTATCAAAACCAKCCCAGTTATTTGAGTAAACTGTGCTTTCTAGTTTTCTTATTGCTTAAATGTCTTGTTCCTCAAATGATTGGGTTGCCCAATGAGGGGGGCAAAGAATAATCTATGTTGGCCAAGGTCACCCCCTGGCTCTACCACTAGGCCTGGTTGTGGATAAAATATCTCTCTGCTCGATAGGACTCATTACTCAACGCTAGACAAGAAAAAATACTACCTCTTTTCTTATAAACAGACTTGATGTGTCATCACTAGTGGCCCTTTTTTAATAATTAAAGTAATAAGCAACAAGCTATAACACAAAATCTACTTTTATTTACTTATTTATTTACTATATAAAATTTTTATGTTACTAATAAATTAGCGCTGAACCCTTTGCTTTCTGTACTGTTTACCATCACATTTTACATTTCTCTTTTTTTTAAATATAGTACATTGCATTTTTTATGACTGTTAATTCTAACTTAAGGGCCATAAAGAAACAAACTAATTTGCATCAACTCATCAAGTCACTGAAAGTCGATTTGGTGGACATCTAGCTGTTTAATTTAGCGTCTCAATAAAATGTAAAGAAAACACGTTTCGATCTTCTCAAATGTTATATTTAGGCAAAAGATGCAGCTGTGGTGTTTTTTTAAGCTTCAAACCCAAGTATCCTTAAAAATCAGAAGAGTAAATGTTTGACCAGTAGAACACGGTACCCTCGCCTCATATAGTGGCAACATAGACACACTCATACTAACTGTACATTTCACCATGTTGACACAGAAATTCATGTCCTCATTCCTTGCCCCGCTTCCAGTCGTCTGACCAGTTGCATGACGTTTGTTTCTTTTCTTTTCTGTTTTCATTTTTTTTTTTCTCCTGTGATGCACATGTGAACATGAGCTGGGTTGCTGAAGATTTGAGCTTTTATTTTGTTAATCTTGGGGTCCAGAGTGGGTAGAGTGGGGTGATTTTCATTTTGGTTGATTTTGTTGTGCTTGTTTTTCTTTTCTTTATTTGTATTATTGCTCTTATTTCTTTGGTGTCCTCATCGTCATTTTCAATGTCATCATTGCCACCATCATCATCATCATCATCCGTTGTCCCATCCTCCGAGCAAGGATAGAGCCACTCCTCCCGTTTTCGCCCTCATCTCGTGCCGCATGAACTTTTGGTGGTTGGAAAACTCGAATTGCTCCTCCTCATCACGTTTGTGCTCATCTTTGTTATCCACAAAAACACGTTTCTATTTTTCTTTTTGTTTATTTTACTCCATATTCAATATAGCATAGAGAAAATGAACGGCAACAAAATCTTTTCTTGCCATCATCCATTTTTTTTTAGTCTTGTGTTGAGAAACTCCATTCTGTCTCGAGAAAGTTGAGTGTGAAAGAATGACCCCTCCCCTTTTGCGAGTGGTAATCTCCCTCACCCACCCCCAAAACCCCCTTCCCTTCATCTCAAAATCAGCCTTTCTTTTGGCCTCTCTGCATATACATGTCTGTTTGAATGCAGATGGCATAAAAAGTATTTTATTGCCACAAAGTATATCTGTTTTTCTATTCTATCTGTTGCTCCAAGTAGAAGGCATTTGTGGCATGCACTCTCCTGGACTGCCCCTGTGCACAAAACACTAACTATTGTAWTACTCCACCCCTCATTCTCCTCAGCTTCTGCATGATTGGAATCCACTTTATCTGCTGCTGCTTCTCCACTCATAAATCTCAGGCTAACCCCCACCTGGCTTCTAGTACATGTCAGTRTGTGCATGCTGGGGGGACCACACGCGTTGGGTCTAAAACCCCACCGGTGTTCCCCGCAGCATCTTCTTGTGTTTGTGCCGGCTGTCTTTGTCAGTACTCCGTCTTGTCTGTGCTCGTTTCGCTCTTGTGTCGTCTTGTCTGTKTTAATAAAACTGTTAAACCTCACCTTTTCCCCCCTGACCCCCTGCTTTTTTTTACCCCCGTCCTACGAGAGTTCCACAAGAGAGCAAACAAAAGAGGGTGCAGCAMGACTCTGGAAAATCGTCTGAATAAAACTGCATTTTAGTAACTAATGCAAATGATCTGCATWAACCATCAAAATCAAGTTTAAACCTTTGATTTTTGATCCAGTGCTGRTTGCTACAAATCTTTAAGGATGTCAATCTGGTCTGGTTGTTGTTATTACTCAGAATAAGATCAAATAAAGTCAAATTTTCATGGATATTGAACAGCAGGCATTTTATATCTGAGAGAGAACAGGTGTGGCTGATAAAATTATTAGAATCTTTTTTTTATTTGCTTCACGGGTGCCCAGAAGTCCTATCAGAAAGATAGCTACACATCTTTAAACTCATAAACAAAACAAAGCTATTACTGTTGTTGCTTATTACGATGCACTTTTACTTTGTCAAAATACCTGCCAGAAGAAAATTGTACTGTACTCGGATCAGCTAAAGGCTATAAAGCAAAAATTCAATAAAATGAAGGCCTATTTTTTGKCTGTGGTTTAGTACTTTTGAACTTTTTAAGTCATTCTTCAAAGCCACTGTAAGATGCATTGAAGCAGATGACAAAACAAAGTAAAACCGTAGTCATGACCTTTTACCAAAGATACATTTTACTGTTCAGCTTTCCTTTGCTACATGGTAATTGATTTTATTCACAAGCATWTTTATCA